TTTCCTCTTACAAAGAAATAAGACTCACATCTTTTTTTTGTCCACTCTCTATCCCGATGATCTATCTCTTTCTATCACTTAAAATGACATAACCTTACATCATTTAAAATAAGAGGAAATATATACTTACTAGAAGAAATATTTACCACTTTTACAACCAACCTAATCACCGTTAATTTTCATCAATTTGACAATTATAATTATTAAAAATTATTAGATTACACTCGTTAATTATTTATTAATTATTAATTATTAATTATCAATAAATTATAACCATTATATTGACGTCTTTGAAAAAAAAAATTAGATACCGAACTCTCGATCCAGTCCCACGATGATATTAATTAAATAATTAGTTAAACCATCCTCCCAAGCAACCGTGAAAAAAGATACTAAGGGCATGTTTGATGCATAGTATAGGATAAGGCTTGATAGTATAAGACCTGATAGTACAAGACCTGATTAAATTTTAATACTATCCAGCGTTTGGTATGATATTGTACAAGATAATATCTTCCAATATTTTAAAAATTAATATATTAAAAAAATTATTTTAATATATAAATGTTGAAATGATATATTAGTTCTTGGGAATTGTACTTGTAAGCAATATTAATACATCAACCCTTTATCAGACCTAATCCACCACTCCTAGGCCGGATTAAGTTATACATCATTTTGATGTATAAAGGGGTCCTGCTGTATAAGCTTATACTATACGATGGTCACACCAAACAACTGAAAATGTCATAACGTATAGTATAAGCTTATACTATCAGACCTTATACATCACACCAAACAGGCCCTAAGGGCATGTTTGGTGCATAGTATAGGATAAGGCCTGATAGTATAAGACCTGATTAAATTTCAATATTATCCAGCGTTTGGTATGATATTGTACAAGATAATATCCTCAAATATTTTAAAAATTAATATATTAAAAAAAATTATTTTAATATATAAATGTTGAAATGATATATTAGTTATTGAGAATTGTACTTGTAAGCAATATTAATACATCAACCATTTATCAGGCCTAATCCACCACTCCTAGGCCGGATTAAGTTATACATTATTTTGATGTATAAAGGGGTCATGCTGTATAAGCTTATATTATACGATGGTCATACTAAACAACTGAAAATATAATAACGTATAGTATAAGCTTATACTATCAGATCTTATACATCACACCAAACAGGTCCTAAATGAGAATGAGGGATGATACGATGGTTTCAAGTTTCAACCACAAAAGGCACGTGTATAACAACATTTAAAAAAAAATATAAATATAAACGTTTAAATGCAATGATTGGACGGGTGAATTTACGATTATAACTTAGGCAAACAATAATATTATTTAGCTGTCAGTTAAAGAGTTGAACTTGAAGCTATTGAGATTTGAGACGAATAATTGCTTTTTTAAGTTCATATGAAAAACATTTTAAAAAAGGAAGAAACCATGGCATAAATCCACGTCGTTTTGCACCAACAACCAACACCATACTTCATGAAATCAAATATTTGTCCGTCCTATTAGGTGCATTTGGTATATTGAGTCTCGACCATAACGGTGGAACATGGTCTATCTCCTTAAGAAAAAAAAAAAACTCAGCTCCAAGTTCATTTTGTTGTTATGCAGGGAGGGAGAAACAAAATTAATTTAATGCTTTTTAATAAAGGTTTTATAAGAGTTATGTTGTAGGAAAAGTGATTGTGTAATGTTATAGAGATTCGTTTTGCGTGCCATAATTTCTGTTTTTTTCTTTTTTCTTCAAAAATTGTGGGTCCCACAAAATATTGTGTGTGTAGGAAAGTTTGTTGTGTCATGTTAAATGACAAATTCAAATCCCTTTTAATAAATTAATTACGCATTTATTACAGTTTTGAAAATAATTACATATTTACTGCACAATATGACACCCAATTTGGGCGTCAATAAAGACGCCTCGATTTGGCGCCACTCAAGAGGCAATCACGCCTAATTTAGGCGTCACTCATCAGGTGTTGACACGTGTCATATTTTTTTTTCAAAAATAATAATAATTTAATCATAACACTTTCGAAGGCTATAATTTTTGACTCGGGTATCCAAATCAGGTAATTCTTTTTTTGATTACACATAACTTTTCGAGATCTACGCCACCATAACCATAGGCATCCCCGCTACCACCACTAGCAGAGGGGCTGCTGCTACCTACAACCACTAACTTAGAAGAGTTGTTATCGGGTGTCGACTTGCCGCTGCAGCCACCACCACAGGGGCTGCCACCACCAGCAGTAATCTTGCTCACAGTGAGAAGACCTGCCAGCAGAGGTAAAGTTCAAATGCAATAGGCTTCGATGAGACAGTTATGGAGTTGAAGGAGAGGATTCTTCGTCTGGAAAACAGGGAGGAGATGCTGGGAGAGCACAACATTTTGTTGAATGCAAGTCGCCCAAATCCTGATAAGAAGTGGGTGAAATATTGCATGAAATTGCATGATCATCAATTGATTAGAGATTGTGGGTTTTCAAGTGACCATGAGATTGAAGTGGCAGTACAATCATTTGCGGGAACGGGTGGCAATAGTAGTGGCCGAGGGTCTGAAAAGTTGGAAATTATTTTGAGCACGACGAGAACAGATGAGAAAATAACAGTAGAAGTGAATGCTGGGGATATAGTGGAAAAGTCGAGGGATAAAGTGGAATGTTGAGGGGGCCAGATGGATTACGTCTTCCCGATCGTTATTGTTTCATTCACCACCAGAAAGTAATACGTGCAGATAGGCCGTTTCAATGGCACCATGTTAAGCATGGTGATACCATTGAAATCCACGTCATACTAATGGATCCAGCAACTGCACCACACCTGCACCACAGAAACGACGCAATTAACACTAGAGTCTTGACAATAAATCGTTATGATGTTTCATGGTTTCGATGTAACGAACTTTTGCATGTTCAATGTTTCTATTTCTATCATTGTAATAAATTCCACTAAAAAACCTAATAGCAGTTGGGAAGTGTAGCGATACTATAGTAGTTATACTACTGTCGTGTTATTTTCCTTGTTAGTGTTTCTGTAGATCCGCTGCCTAGATGGTGGTATTCTGTTTTTCTCGGGAATATGCGAAAATTGTGACAAAATTGACACTGACTAATCACGACAAACATAACATCAGCAAAATTGACCTATCATTTCAGGAAAAAATTTGGTCTACCAAATAACTTTTTGGTAATATTCTCGGACAATTTACTTTCCCATCATATTAATCGTGATTCTCGGATAAAAGAAATTCCTCCTCTACCAAACGCTCCCACCTCATAATTAACTTTCCAATTAATTTATTGAATAAAAAAAATCAAATTAGGATGTTTTTGAAATATCTCAGCCAAAAAAGTCGCCACCTCCAACGACAATGATAAACTGGAATGAGATAGAAGAGTAGGCGTCTAGTGTCGAGCTGCCGCCACCATCACCATAGGCATCCCCGCTACCACCACTAGCAGAGGGGTTGTGCCACCTACAACCACTGACTTAGAAGAGCTGCTATCGGGTGTCGACTTGCCGCTGCAGCCACCACCACCACCATAGGGGCTGCCACCACCAGCACTAGTCTTGCTCACAGTGAGAAGACCTATCGGCAGAGGTAAAGTTCAAATGGTGATAGGCCTCGATGAGACAGTTATGGGGCTGAAGTAGAGGATTCTTCGTCTAGAAGGAGATGCTGGGAGAGCACAACATTTTGTTGAGTGCAAGTCTCCCAAATCCTGATAAGAAGTGGGTGAAATATTGCATGAAATTGCATGATCATCAATTGATTAGAGATACTGGGTTTTCAAGTGATCATGAGATTGAAGTGGCAGTACAATCATTTCCGGGAGAGGGTGGAAGTAGTAGTGGCCGAGGGTCTGAAAAGTTGGAAATTATTTTGAGCACGACGAGAACAAATGAGAAAATAACAGTAGAAGTGAATGCTGGGGATATAGTGAAAAAATTGGGGTATAAAGTGGAAATGTTGAGGGAGCCAGATGGGTTACGTTTTCCTGATCGTTATTGTTTCATTCACACACATAAAGTAATACGTGCAGATAGGCCGTTTCAATGGCACCATGTTAAGCATGGTGATACCATTGAAATTCACGTCATACTATCGGATCCAGCAACTACACCACAGATTGGCGCAATTAGCACTAGAGTCTTGACAATAAATTGTTGTGATGTTTCATGGTTTCGATGTAACGAACTTTTGCATGTTCAATGTGTCTACTTCTACCATTGTAATAAATTCCACAAAAAAACCTACTAGAAGTTGGGAAGTGTAGCGATACTATAGTAGTTATACTATTGCCGTGTTATTTTCCCTGTTAGTGTTTCTGGAGCATCCGCTGCCCAGATGGTGGTATTTTGTATTTCTCGAAAATATGCGAAAATTGTGACAAAAATAACCCTGACTAATCACGACAAACATAACATCAGCAAAATTGACCTATCATTTCAGGAAAAAATTTAGTCTACCAAATAACTTTTTGGTAATATTCTCGGACAATTTACTTTCCCATCATATTAATCGTGATTCTCGGATAAAAGAAATTCCTCCTCTACCAAACGCTCCCACCTCATAATTATCTTTCCAATTAATTTATTGAATAAACATAAATCAAATTAGGATGTTTTTGAAATATCTCAGCCAAAAAAAATGCCACCTCCAATGACAATGATAAACTGGAATGAGATAGAAGAGTGGGCGTCTAGTGTCGAGCTGCCGCCACCATCCCCATAGGCATGCCCGCTACCACCACTAGCAGAGGGGCTGCTGCCACCTACAACCACTGACTCAGAAGAGCTGCTATCGGGTGTCGACTTGCCGCTGCAGCCACCACCACCACCACCAGCACTAATCTTGCACACAGTGAGAAGACTTTCCGACAGAGGTAAAGTTCAAATGGCGATAGGCCTCGATTATACAGTTATGGGGCTGAAGGAGAGGATTCCTCGTCTGTAAAATAGGGAGGAGATGGTGGGAGAGCACAACATTTTGTTGAGTGCAAGTCGCCCAAATCATGATAAGAAATGGGTGAAATATTGCATGAAATTGCATGATCATCAATTGATTAGAGATTGTGGGTTTTCAAGTGATCATAAGATTGAAGCGGCAGTACAATCATTTGCGGGAGCGGGTGGCAGTAGTAGTGGCCGAGGGTCTGGAAAGTTGGAAATTATTTTGAGAATTACGAGAACAGATGAGAAAATAACAGTAGAAGTGAATGCTGGGGATATAGTGGAAAAGTTGAGGGATAAAGTGGAAATGTTGAGGGAACCAGATGGGTTACGTCTTCCCGATCGTTATTTGTTTATTCACACACATAAAGTAATACGTGCAGATAGGCCGTTTCAATGGCACCATGTTAAGCATGGTGATACCATTGAAATTCACGTCATACTAATGGATCCAGCAACTGCACCACAGAAACGGCGCAATTACCACTAGAGTCTTGACAATAAATCGTTGTGTTGTTTCATGGTTTCGATGTAACGAACTTTTGCATGTTCAATGTGTCTATTTTTACCATTGTAATAAATTCCACTAAAAAACCTAATAGCAGTTGGAAAAAGTAGCGATACTGTAGTAGTTATACTATTGCCGTGTTATTTTCCTTGTTAGTGTTTCTGTAGATCCGCTGCCTAGATGGTGGTATTCTGTTTTTCTCGGGAATATGCGAAAATTGTGACAAAATTGACACTGACTAATCACGACAAACATAACATCAGCAAAATTGACCTATCATTTCAGGAAAAAATTTGGTCTACCAAATAACTTTTTGGTAATATTCTCGGACAATTTACTTTCCCATCATATTAATCGTGATTCTCGGATAAAAGAAATTCCTCCTCTACCAAACGCTCCCACCTCATAATCAACTTTCCAATTAATTTATTAAATAAACATAAATCAAATTAGGATGTTTTTGAAATATCTCAGGCAAAAAAGTCGCCACCTCCAACGACAATGATAAATTGGAATGAGATAGAAGAGTGGGCGTCTAGTGTCGAGCTACTGCCACCATCACCATAGGCATCCCCGCTACCACCACTAGCAGAGGGGTTATGCCACCTAAACCATTGACTTAGAAGAGCTGCTATCGGGTGTCGACTTGCCGCTGCAGCCACCACCACCAGCACTAATCTTGCTCACAGTGAGAAGACTTGCCGGCAGAGGTAAAATTCAAATGGCGATAGGCCTCGATGAGATAGTTATGGGGCTGAAGGAGAGGATTCTTCGTCTGGAAAACAGGGAGGAGATGTTGGGAGAGCACAACATTTTGTTGAGTGCAAGTCACCCAAATCCTGATAAGAAGTGGGTGAAATATTGCATGAAATTGCATGATCATCAATTGATTAGATATTGTGGGTTTTTTTTTTTTTTTTTTTTTTGGATTCTACCAGCATTCGAACCAGGACCAGTATGGTGTTGTCCTCCAACAAGCAACAACTACCACATTGACCACGAATGCTAGTGATATTGTGGGTTTTCAAGTGATCATGAGATTGAAGTGGCAGTACAATCATTTGCGGGAGCGGGTGGCAGTAGTAGTGGCCGAGGGTCTGAAAAGTTGGAAAAAAATTTGAGCATGACGAGAACAGATGAGAAAATAACAGTAGAAATGAATGCTGCAGATATAGTGGAAAAGTTGAGGGATAAAGTGGAAATGTTGAGGGAGCCAGATGGGTTACGTCTTCCCGATCGTTATTGTTTCATTCACCACCAGAAAGTAATACGTGCAGATAGGTCGTTTCAATGGCACCATGTTAAGCATGGTGATACCATTGAAATCCACGTCATACTAACTGTAACCGGTAGAAACAAACGACTACTTTTAAAAATAGCACAATCCATCAAAAACCGATTTTGAATTTGTTAAAAAATCGGTTTTGAACTTGATAACCGGTTTATGGTTCATAATCGATTTTGATTTCAAACCGGATTTGAATTAAAACCGGTTTTAAATCGTAAACTGGTTTTGTAACCGGTTTTAAACCAACATCAACATCAACAACAACAACACCTTTATTCCAAATTAATTGAGGTCAGTGGTAGATGAACCCAAATGAAAGATACAAAAGGTTGAAAAAAGAAACATAAAAGTAAAATAAAAAACTAAAAAAAAATAGAATAGTAATAATATATATATATATATATATATATATAAGTAAAAAAAAAAGGAAACGAAGAAGAGGGGGAAATGAAGGGGGAAAGGAATAAAAAGGGACCATCTGGAACATAGGAATAACAACGAGTTTAGAAAATTAAAAATCAGTTTTAAAAAAAGAAAACCGGTTCGATTTGAAAATCTAACCGTTTAAAATCGGTTCAGATCGATTTTTGTTAAAATCGATTATGAACTGCTCTATAGGCACCCACAATATTTGTTAATAATACGTGATAGATGTAGAAGTGTTTTTGGAAGCATTATGGAACCGTTTCATGCATATGCTGCTACTCTTTTGTTTTTTTTTTTTAACTTTTCTCAGTGAATAACGTAATGGCCAATCCCACTGTGTGAATGAGTGGGATTCCACTGAGAAGTATAGCTGACCCAGCTGCGCATTGAATTATTGATTCAATCAGTGAATTACTTGAAACTGATTTAGTATATAAAATTGGGGTAAAGCATTTATCCGATCAACGGAGATAAGTTTTATCCGGTGAGTCCAAAATTACGTTGTTTTGGAATGGAAATCAAGGTATTTTTGTAATTTTAATATATTGCAGGGTTATATTAGTCTTAATTATTATAATTTTTAATCTTATAACCCAAAATGACGTCGTTCGGAGCTCACTGGAGATAACTTTATCTCTAGTGACTGGAGAAATATTTTTCCCTAAAAATTTATATTTTATATATAAAAATATTCAAATATATTAAAAAATTGTTATGCAGAGCTGCAAATATATATAGCCGTTTTTAGCAATAAAAAAAAATCATATATGATAATCACATATAATATATGGGCTTTGCAACTCTCCTGTGATTGCAAAATTTGAGAGTTTGCAACTAATACAAAAACAAGGTGGACCCCGCCATCTTTAAAAAAAATATGCCGGTGAGTATGTGGCAGGAGGAAATCACTTCCACCGTGACAGGAAGAGTGATTTCCCCATAATATATTGTAAAGAAATCACATATAATCACATATAAATCTTCTACCAAATATTCTCAACTAACCATGTTTAATAATTTATCAATATCTCTTCTTATAAAAATGAATTTGCAAGAAATCAATATATCACCTTCTCTTAATTTAATTTATACAAATTACTTTAATTTTTGAAACTAAAATTTAAGATCACTGTAAGAAAATATATTATTAGCAAACAAAATTATAAATTTTTTGAAAGAACTTCCATAATTTTTTAGAAAAAGACAAGATAATTTTAATTTTTGATTTTTTTTAATAAAAAATACATGACCTACCAATTTTTATAACCTGGTTGGGTCATCATTTTTTTTTACAAAACCCAATTGATTCGAATCGATTTTTACCGAATCTAATTCATAACTGATCCAATACTTTAAACCAATCAAACAACCGGTTCACCAGGTTTCATGTCGAGCCTGCCGATTGTAAGTGGATTGATAACAATGACAGAAGGCCAATCATCCCGCACTGAACGCTTTCGCCTCCCTTTGATAAATTATTGCATGCTTTCCAAAAATCATGTTTCATTGTACTGACTTTAAATAATAATTGTGAGATTTATTATTCACTCTCATTCTTTATTTATTTTCTTGTGGTTAGGTCTTTCTAATTTTTTTTTCCTTTACAGCTTATACCTAATTACTTTGATTCGAGCTCACTCGGATCTATATTCAATGTGATTATAAAATTCTGAAGTTGATATCTATTATTAGGATAATAAATTTATAATTACTTGAATAAATTATTATTGGAGTCTTTTTATTTAATTTTTATGAAAAAATCTTTAAATTAAAATGAGTGATGCATTCCATAATTAATTAAACAGATGCCCAGTTCTCTAAACACGCCACTTTCTGACACATTTATTGTTCCCCTCCCTATATTGCTGCGTTACTCAAGAACCGATTTGTAGACTTTCATACACTAACATAATGGCTGTATACTATTTAACGATCATAAATAGAAGTTTAGAACAATCACTGTTCAAACCTTTTTTAAATAATTTTTTTTAAATTTGAGCACTAGTGATGGAAGAGTTAGTGAAATATTTATGATTAGTTAGTTACAATAAAAATTCATTTTGTTGGATAAAAATTTGATTTTAAAAGGTTTACCGAAGAATGAATCTTCAAATATTTATGATAAGATTTAATTAAAAAAAGTAAATGTTTCAGCAACTCGTAAGAAAAAGTCACATCCTCAATTAAAAAACACGCACAACATAGAATTATAAACGAGAAAAGTGTTTCTTATTCCATGACATAAAATTATCTCCTATTTCAAAATAACTTCATTTTAAGATTTAAAGTTAAAAATAAAAGAAAAAGGTTATACTTACCACCTATTTTCGTTTACAATATTTTACAACTATATATTAACCGTTGATTTTCATCAATCAACTGTTATTATTTTTGTAAATCAAATTCATTAATTAATTATTAATTCGCAATAAATGATAACCATAGATTGGTGCAAATCAACAGTTAATATATGACTGCAAGAGATTGTAAACGAATATAGGTTCTAAGTATAATCTTCCTAAAAATTAAAAGGTATTTTAAAAATTTCTATTTTTTTATATTGAAATTTTTACTAAAATATTATGTATTTTGAAGATTAATATTTCTCATGTTATAAGAAATAATTTTATCTTTAATATATATAAAAGTACGTGAGGCTCATATATTTTTTGTTTCTCTTCTCTTCGTATGGTCTCAATTAACCTCATATTTTTATATACGTACATGAGATAATTTTATCTTCTATAATAAAATATTAATCTCTTTATTTTTAATATTTAACTGCAAGATAATGCCGTCTTACGATACAGAAGATAATTTCTCCATAACGTTAATTCCATTATAAATATTAGTTTATATTATTAATATTTTTTTATCCATTGCAATTTAAGATAAGGTTGGCAAAAAGGGCCAACCCGACTCAACTCAACCCAACCCAATCTGCCTTCAACCCGTAAAAAACGAGCCGAGTTAGTGTTGACTCGAAAAATAAACTAGGCAGAAAACTCAACTTGGCTCGAAAAAATAGAAAAATAAAATAATTTTCCATTGATGTTATAACTTCTAAATTTTTTTCCTAAATTATTAATTCATTCAATACAAAGATATTATACAGATAAACCATAGAAAATTTTGCATTTGAACTTGGACTTATTGACAGTTGACATCACATTCACACTGTCACACATACTATAAAAAAGATCCTTAATGCACTATTTAGGACTTATAGGCAGCTGCAAAGTATTTTCGTTTGAGTCTTTGAAATTGGAATTTTAAGTTTTAGCTTTCCACTTTACCTTAATTAATTTTTATACTTTTATATTAAAAAAAAATCATAACCTCGAGCCAACCCATTTGGCCCGTGGGTTGGCTCGGTTTTTTTTAAGCTGAAACGAGTCGGGCTGACTCAAGTTACTAACTCAATTTTTTTAATCTAACCCGACTAATTTTAGCCGAATTACAAGCCAAACCGATGAATTGACTCATTTTTGCAAACCTAATTTAAGAGTTTATTGTTTAAAATGTTATTGGATTTAAGTTATAACGCATATAAAAGTTGGTGTAAGTGTAACCATCTTTGCTCCTTACACACATGCGCCGCATGAGATATATTAAGAAGATATTCAACTAGTATATTTTTTTAACTGACTTCTTCTTTTGGTTGATCCAGAATTTGAACCGACATAACAATTTGACTCTGACAATGGAAAATTGAAGATTTACAGAGAGAAATGAAGAAAGGTGTTAAGAGATAGAAGGAAGTGAAATCAACGATACTGACAGGACAGGACACGACGCTGTTTGTGTTTCCGAAAATGGTAACCATTCAATCCGATATACTCTCTGCTTTCTGCAAAGCCTCTTCAACATTCCGATCCCTCCCACGCGCCACCGCACCCTTCCGTCTCAGGGCCTTCTCCAACGCCGTAGATAAGCCCTCCGTTTGCACCGCCGACGAGCTTCACTATGTCTCCCTCTACAATTCCGATTGGAGGCTCGCCCTCTGGCGCTACCACCCTCCTCCTCAGGTTGTTTTTTTATTTTTATTTTTTCAGTTTGGATTGTTGAACTCTTCATCCAAATCGCAAACACACACATATGTTGATTACGTTTTCTGAGAAATGAAATAGAATACAATACTCGTTTCATAGGTACCTCCGAGGAATCACCCTCTGTTGCTCTTGTCAGGAGTGGGGACTAACGCCATTGGATATGACCTTTCCCCTGAGGTAATCAACCTTTTTTTTTTCATTCCATTTTTCTTGTAATTTTTTTTGTATCTAGAAATTTCTTAGCTTACTCCTTCGTAATTGTGCATTGTGTGTGTTTTTGTTCTGTTCCTTTCTGTTCTGTATATAGTTTGTCCTTTGAGTCTGCTTGTCCGGTTACACCTGGTTGCCCTCTTTTCATTTTCAGTTTTTTACATCTCAAAATCAGTTGGTGCTTGTATTTTATCATCGTTTGGAATATGATTTTCTTGTGCTTAGTAACTTGTTTTGGGGTTTGGTGGGCAACTATGAACCTAAGAAATTTTTAGTGGTATTTGAATTTGATCGATTGGATGATTCAAACATAAGCAAGTCTCTCAGACATGGTGTAATCAAATCAATTACGTCTCTGAATTGATGTCATGACTTATTTTTATGCATATCCTTTTATTCCTGTATAGTAAACTGCCTACTTTTTTATCCTTGTTTTTCGCACCCCAATATTTTCCTTTAACATTATGAATTATGAATATAAGATCTTATGAACATAGGGACCAAAGGATTTTGAGTTTTTTGATACTAAAGTCCTATTTTAAAATGCAGATTGATAGCAAAATGCTTAATGCCTCTTCCCTTAAAAGAATGCACCGAAGATATATCTTCTTTTTCTTTTTCTTTTTTGGTACATAGATTTATCTTTTGATTCTATATTATGCTTTCCCCCATATCGTTCTGGCTAAAGTTTTATTTTTCCTCCATATTATTTTATGCAATTAACATATTTTTGAGTAAAGAATGATGCTGGCTGCCTGATTATAGCTGGTTAGTTGTATTTTCTTGACTATTGCATTTTTCTTTTCTGGTTTAATATATCAGGCTTCCTACTAACACATGATATATATCCTGCAGTCATCATTTGCACGATACATGTCTAGTCAGGGATTTGAAACTTGGATTCTTGAAGTACGAGGAGCTGGGTTGAGTCTTCGTAGTTCAAATTCCGAAGATATTGAACGGTCTGCCCATGTAATGTCTGAAAAGATGGAAGCTGTTTCGGAAAGTGCAAACAATGGAGCTGTGGCTTCGAAAAAAGAATTGAATAACATTTTTTCTGCTGTATCTGAACCTGATATTTCTGCCTCGAAAGGACTAGAAACTGAGAATGTGGCTGTCAAAGGAGACCTAACTAAGTTAGCTACTGTTTGGGATGAATCAAAGTTGGTGGCAAGGTTGACAGAGACTTTTATGCGTTTGTCAGAAAGAGTCTCTGGGTTTCTTAGTGAAGGTCAATCGAAGGTCATGTCTGCCAAATTACTTGATCAGATTTCAAAACTTTTGGTGGATTCTCCATTATATGAACAGTTCAATGAGGTAAGGGGAAAACTTTCAAGTTTGTTGGAAACAAGGCAAAACTCTGGTATTACTAGTCAAATAACTGATCTGAGTCAAAAGCTAGTAAATATTATTGAGGAAGGTCAGCTATCTGTTTCTCCTCAATTATTTGATCTACAAACTCGGTTTACTTCTACAATAGAAGATTTTCAGAAGCAACTTGACTTGATAGTGAAGTATGATTGGGACTTCGATCATTACTTGGAAGAAGATGTTCCTGCCGCGGTGAGGTGACATCTTATAATATTGGAAAGTTATACATTCATCACTGATTTTTACTTTGGTTACAGTGATTAACAATTGTATCATTTGTGATCCCTTTCTTTTTTCTATCATGTACAGGATACTTTCTCAGGCTACATATCCCTGATGTGACTTTTTGGTTTTACCTATACAGATAGAATACATAATGAAAGAAAGCAAGCCAAAAGATGGAAAGTTGCTTGCAATTGGACACTCCATGGGTGGTATCTTGCTTTACTCAATGCTGTCACGGTTTGGTACGTTTTCAGCTTTTGTTACTATCAGTTGATCATTAACCATTTTGCTTTGATTTATTGTCATATTCTTAATTTTATACTCTTTTATTTGAGATTCGTTATGGTCTAAACTATAATGTCCAATAACTCTCTAATGGTTGGGGGAAAAGGTGTAGGATTTGGATTTGGAAATTCCTGTAGTAGGCTGGTATATTAGTAAACTTTGTGCATAATTAGGCTTCTGAATAAGGGGTAGCAAAAAAGTCAAACAATGGAGTTTTTGAGTCCTTTTTAAAAAAAAAATGAAAGTAAGATCGATCTGAATTATATCTACTGGGAGATGGATGACAGGCTAGATAATCTTTCTTTCATAAAATGATGCTACTCCAAAACTTCTTCTACCCTTCTATTTTGCCATAACAACTGCTCTTCTATAAGCGATGATAGCAACTTCTTAAAAAATTTGTCAATACCTAATAGCGAGTATTACTTGTAAACATAGAGGTGTAAAATCTAGGTTTGCAAGTAGCATTACCCCTTTATAGAATCTAGGTTTACATTAATCTGCTTAAACATGTATAGAATGAATATGTAAGTTATTTACTTAGCATATGTTATCATTTCATTCAAGGTTTTGAAGGAAAAGAACCTAGGTTGGCTGCAGTAGTTACACTGGCATCATCTCTGGACTACACATCATCCAAATCAACTCTTAAGTTACTCTTACCCCTTGTAAGTGTCTGGTTATTTCCCACACAAATTTAGTGGTTAACTTGCTGTAAAGAACCAATTCAACTCAAAAGCTTAAGCTTGTGGGTGAGGGCTTTTTAATGGTTTATACTATTCTATAACACGCCCCCTCACACGAGAGCCCACTGATCCTGAAGGGTGGACAAGCACAGACCCACCTACCTGTTCTAAGAAAATTCCACAAGAGAAAGTGGGGGGCGGTGAGGATCGAATCCGGAACACGAGGCTCTGATACCATGTAAAAAACCAATTCAACCCAAAAGCTTAAGCTTGTGGGCGAGGAATTTTTAATGATTTATACTATTCTCTAACACTTGCCATAATCTCTCGTACTAAATTTGGTCACTTGTTAAACAGGCAGATCCTGCACAGGCTCTGAATGTCCCTGTTGTTCCTTTAGGGGCAATGTTGGCAGCAGCTTATCCTCTTTCATCTCATCCACCAAAAGTTTTCTCATGGTTAAATACTTTGATTTCAGCTGAGGACATGATGGATCCAGATTTATTAAAAAGGCTGGTCTTGAATAACTTTTGTAAGTATTCCTATCCATTAAAAATTAAAATCATTCATCTATTTACTTAATAACTTAAACTTTTGGGAGGGTTGTTTCTTGCATGGTATCACAACCATTGTGACCAAAAGGTTGTGCATAGGGCTTTTTTGTGACGTCGCATGGGATATAGTTTCTTAGCAGTGCTTGGATGCTCTTTAGAAAGTAAACTTCACTTTGGAACCAGTAGTGAAAATCAATAACTGGGTTATCATTTGAAAAATCCTGTGAAATTGCGAACTATTGATTACTTACTTCAGTGGTTATCGGTATTCTATTTAATTTCCAAAACACAGTTGATATTTTTAAAAGGATCCTGAGCCTGCAGCTTGACCATTGGATAAATACCATCATGCAAATATTGAATAATTCCATAGCCTTTTTTATTCTCTTAAGGAGGTGTGAATGAGAAATCCTCTCTTCTAATACGTATTATAAGTGTCAAATTTCGTAGAATACACAATATTTGGACTAATCAAATGGGTTTCATATGCTGGTTGTTTTGTGCTCTTACCAGAACCTCTGTTTGACATGCCCCTTTTTAATGCTTATCTGGTAGTTATAACCATCCTAGTGGCTCCATTTTCAGTGATATTAAGAATTGCACGTTATACATATTATTGTACAGAATCTTGAGAGAGGATATTCAGATGGATCAGAATTAATGATATAACTTAGTTTAAGCATGCTAAGATAAATAGGGTTATCAAAAACAAAATAATTCATCTGTTTTCACTAAATAAAGGCTCTAGGTCTTTGGACCTTGAAGACTCGGATAGGAGGGTAAGATAATAAACAATTAAAGAATGATACAATGAGTAAGAAGTGGTGATTTGACTGGTTTCATTAAATTTAAGAGGCGGAAAATGCTGTAATCCTGCTAGATGTACTTTCTGGACATTGTCACTTTTAGTAGGATATTTGGGTTTTGAACTTACTATAGTGCCGAACAAGACTGGTATATGCAGTGAACATAAATTTTTATTCTCTAGTTAAGCAAATTATATATTAACTAATAAATATTATAACTAACCTGCATCTGATACCATTACAACTGGCAGGTACCATACCCGCAAAACTTCTCTTGCAGCTCACAACAGCATTTCGAGAGCGTGGTTTATGTAACAGGAATGGGACCTTTTTTTACAAGGACCATCTACACAAAAGCAACATCCCTATCTTAGCTATTGCTGGAGACCAGGATCTGATTTGCCCACCTGAAGCCGTGAAAGGTGTTTTTCAATCCTAGATGTAGATGTTTTATTTGCCTGTGGTGTTTTTTCAAGATGTGAATGTTCTTATAAGGCTTTTTATGGAGCAGAAACCGTTAAGCTGATTCCCGAGCACCTTGTTACATATAGAATTTTTGGAGAACCCGGAGGCCCACATTATGCTCATTATGATTTGGTTGGAGGAAGACTGGTATGAACTTGCTCGCTTAGTTTTTTTTTTTTTTTTTCCCTATATATTACAAAACTGTTGTTGAGAAAATAATAACATACTCAATTTTATGTTGTAATTAATTGGTTATGGCCTTACTGGATGTCCCAGACATGAATTTTCTCATAGCTTTCTGTTCTATTTGTGGCTTTCTCCTCCAGTTCATCTACTCTTACCATGTTTTTTCCTTATAGACTTTTGATCTTTCGTCCATTTTTAATTATCTTACTTATACACTGCTGTTTCTTTTGAATCAAGGATTTGTTTGACACAAATAATTGGTTTATTATTTTTTTTATGCCTACAGCTGCTTTCATTGTGATGTAATTTCTATACATATTTTGAGCGCAGGCAGTGGAGCAAGTGTACCCCTGTATAATTGAGTTTCTTAGTTGTCACGACAAGTGATGTACAGCGTCAATTTTCATCAAATACATTCTTCTTTGATCATATTACTAAATTCCAAACAGGTATGATATACCTTTCTCTTGTTGCCTTCTGTACATCCCGTTAAAACATGCAGAACTGACCTGTGTGGCTGTTGATGGTACTCACGAGATTATTTATCTGGGTACAACAATATAATGCAGAAAAGTTGAAAGAATTGATCAGACCTTGTGTGCATTGGAGGATATGAGGTTTTCACATTTGTTTCCTTAACAATAGCAGTAAACGGTATGACTCTGAATTACAACCAAGTATAGTAATAGGAATTACAATTCAGGAGTCTGTAAGAATTTTTTTAGTTGGCAGCGTTGCCTCTGAATTGCTGTAAGATATATGTACACTTGTACAGAATTTCTTACATGATACTCTTATTATGACTATAACCTGTCTATGTTTCTTGAATGTGTTTTGACCAACTGTTGTGCTTCTCGGGTCTGTGTGCCTACTGCCTGGACATGGATGCCCTATGTTTAGTTGAGCCTCTTGCATCCAATCTAGTGACCTAATATTTGCTTGATGGTAGTCGTAGTTGTTTGTACACTTACGAAAGCTAGGTCACGTGGGTATTCTTATTTTTGAGATGGTAAAATATGGAGGTGACATAACTCGTCGGGTTGCCCGTTTGACTTATTTTCGACGTGTTAACCTATTTGAATCTATCCCACTTATTAAGAGTGGGTTAAAAGTCGGATTTTTTTTTTTTTTAAAAAAAAATATCGAATGACTTTGTCTCCACTTGATACCAATGTTGTAAAACCCGGATCAGAGATTGATCCGGTCTAAGTAGTAGGTCACTGGTTCAATTAGTGAGTCATTGGTTGAATCGTATGATTTGATAAATATATATAAATTTATAATTTATATTAAAAAAATTATAAACATACTTAAATATCAATAAAAAGTATATAAGTTTCAAATATTATAATATAAAAAAATAATAAGTCACAAGTTTTTTTTTTTTTTTTTGGTAACAATGGTCCTTAGTAGGGGTGTTTGCGGTCTGGATTGGATCGGTTTCGGAAACAAAAATCATCCAATCCAATCCCTTCGGTTTGATCATATAATTATCCATTCGGTTTTGATTTTTTTCAAACCCGATCCGATCCAATCCAATTTTTTTCAGTTTGGATTGGACCGGTTTTCGATTTTTTTAAAAATCCTAATTTTTTTTTTTTGTTATCTTAAAATCCTAAAATTTATTTCATGATTATTGTCCAAATAACATCTTTTGTATATATTGGCTTTGTAAATTATTTTTTTTGAAATACAAAAGCATTAGTAAACTATAATATAGTTTTTTTTTTATTTTTGGCAATGAGATATGGAGCTCTACAAAAGTAAAATTTTGTTGATGAGATGTGATTAGATTTTTTTTTGGGTTTAGTTGATGGGTTAATGGGTATTGAGTTTAAAAATTTTTAGGTTGTGATTAAGGAAAGACCCAAATAAGTAGAGGAAAATTAATATATTGGATCGGTTTTCATCAACCCATCCAAAAACTGATCCAATCCAATTAAAATTTGCGATTTTTAATTGGTTTTCGATTTTTCGGTTTTCGGTTTATTCGGTTATCGGTTTTTCGGTTCGGCCACCGCGGTTTGAATCGGTTTGGATCGGTTGATGAACACCTCTAGCCTTTAGCCCGAAAAAAAAACAAAAACAAAAACTAGACAAACTCTACCCTCTGGACCCTACTATTAGTCCCCACCAATGCATCGTCAACTTTATTTGCATAAGCAACAAGAAACATCTTTCATCTCATCTTCTTCTCATCTCGTCGATAAGTGAGTAAATGGCTCCTAATTTTCTCATTGCAAGATTAACTGCATCATTCACATACTGCAAGACTACCCAAACGCAGTTGGGTTCTCTAACTTTCTTTCTTCAATTCATTCATTTAACGCACCTCTTCTGATACTGAATCAGATAGAAACCACAACAAAGGTGACACCTTTACCATATCTTATGTAACACTCCGTTCTAGAACCGGTTTGTTAACATTGCTTTATGATATTAAGCACAGTTACAATCACATTGGTTCAATTAGAAATCCGGATAAATTTTTCTTTTTAAACAAGCCGAATTTAAAATAACCAATTGCATGACCATAACCATATTACTTTGCGGAATAGTGAGACAAAGCTTAACATCATATTCTTATTTTATTAGACCATATATCGTTAAATGTCTTCATCTCTTTTATGATTAAATTAATTCTATACTCCCTTTATACCTCTCATCTCCTACTAGATTATAGATCTCCTAGTTAGCTTCGAGTGGGTTCTAACTGCACTCCAATCGGAGCTCCGTAGCTCGAGTTATGCAAGTTTTACTAAACTATGTATTTGCTGATTTCGAGCAGTGCGTTTTGGCGCCCAAATGGGCGTTAAAACGCCCATCAGCAGTGGAGTTTGCCCTCTACAGGTCTCCAGAACGTTTTGGCGCCCATACGGAGCGCGAAAACGTCCATTGTAGCGTTTTAGCGCCCATTTCAGCACTAAAACGTCTAAGGGCAGAGGCCTTTCCTCCATTTTACGAACTTAGAGAGTTTTAGCGCCCATTTTAGCGCTAAAACGGCTAAGGGCAGAGGCCTTTTCTCCATTTTACGAACTTAGAGCGTTTTAGCGTCCGTTTCCGCGCTAAAACGCTCTCCAACTGGGCAAAACATGCCCTCCCCTATTTTCATGTGACACCATGGGAGGTTTCCTCTCACTTTCACCATTCTCCTTACACCTAATAGACATTATACTACTTTAATACATAATCCTTATTTAGGTTAAGACACTCATTCCTCAAATGGCATTCATGAACTTCCATCATGTATACAATATTACACAATTCCAATAATTACAACATGACAAACATACTACGGGTCCATCAATACTTCAAGTTTCAATACATCATTGTTCTTCCAACTTTTCATATACATGCCAAAGGACTTAGCTACACAAGGAACATGATCAAAGCTATAAGCCATTTACAACAAGGCATTCATCACTACAATGATCATGCACTAAGTCCCTCAAAATACATATTGTGACATCAAAATATACATATAGCAATTATAAATGGCATGCAACTCAAAATATCCAGCTATCAGGTACAGTCTACTCATGCTTCTTGCCTCGATCAACCTCACCTCTATCAGTACCTGAAATGATGCCCCACAACACGGGGTGAGATATACGAATATATCACAGTAAACCAGAGGTCCTTGGAGATCACTCCACCCTAAGGTTCACTTTCGATGTACACATAATCATAATGGCTTAACACATTCTTATCCACAAGCATCACATGGACTTCCAAGAGAGATCCACTAAGGGCTGTTTCTCTTAGGTTCTTACCACATGGAGATCCACATAGGGTTGTTTCCAAGGGAAGTCCTTTCCTCAATCTATTCCAAGAGAGATCCTCAAAGGGCTGTTTCTCTTAGGCTCTTACCACATGAAGATCCACATAGGACTGTTTCCAAGGGAAGTTCCTACCAATCATCCTCATCATAATACTATCATTCATAACCTCAATCACAATCCTCAACCATTACCTTATTCATTATTTCTACTTCTATAATCATTCCTCAATTACTCTTAAACAATCAAACATCAACCAACAGTCATTAATCAATCATAACATGTAACAATGCATGAATCAATGCATGAGCATACAATTACTATCACAATTACATATCACATCTCATAAACCATTTCTCCTCAACGGAGTATGGTGGAACACTCAATGGGATCAACCCCAAGGTCCAAAGGTTTACCTTGCTCTTGAACTTTCCTCAATTGCACACAACCACAATGGTTGGTCACTCCACTTGGTTCTCTTGCCTCAATCCTATTAATACAAGGAACACAATCACACAATGCTAACAATGCAAGGAAATCCATAGTTCCAAGCCTAGATTTCTCCAAACATCAAAGCATACTAAAATAACACTGTAAACTCATTTCTACCGATTAAATGTCATTCTTAGCATTTTTCACAACATACACTATGTCTCAATCCTCCTAGAACATAGCCAATCTACTAATATTATCATAAAACCCTAAAAACACTATTCATCATCTTCCTCAACCATGCAACTCCATGGAAATCAAGTTCAAGAGGAAGAAACTCACCACAAATGGTTGCGCAACCAATGGATGGTGTCATCCTAAGCTCCCATGGTAAGAGTCACTTCCAATCTCCTCAAAACTCCATATTTTCGCCCCAAAAGCAAGGAGAATCCCACTCCACAATGCTTCCCACAAAGAACCAAGCTTGTATTATGAAAGAGGGAAAGATTTTGGGTGGTTTAGGCTTTTGAATCAAAGAGAATGGTTGAGAATAGAGGGATCTAGGGTTTCCCTTCTCTCCCTCTCCTTCTTCTCATTCTTTTCCTTTCTTTCTTTCTTTTGTTTTGGTCGACGGGTGGGGGGGGGGGGGGGGAAGAATGGGTTCTAATGTTTTGGGTCACTTAACTTATGTTAAGTGGCTTTAAGCGGGTATTAGCTCATCTATCTATTCAACTCTATTCAACACCAAACTTTACCCAAAGGTCTGGAATATTTTTCTAGAAACATTTCCACTTTTATTGTTATATTTTGGGTACTTTTGCCTGTACCCATTTATACTCCTTAATTTTCACTTAGTACACTTTTTACCTCAAAAGTGACCCCAATTCACTTAATTAGGCCCTATACTTAATTTTACTCACTAATACATGCTTAATTACTTAATTTAAGGTAATTAATTAAATGCTTGAATTAAGGGTGTTATATCTTACCTCATAAACAAATGTGGGTTGTCCTCAGAAGTGGCTAAGGAGCTCTCCGAAAAAGTGAATTTGAAAAACCCGGATGGCCCAAATGAAGATGTCCCTGTGGTGATTGCTCTGCATGCTGATGCTTCCCGACAAGTATACCGATCGCACAAGTAATATAATAGTAAGTAAAGTTCGTCTCCATAGGGATTGTGATCGTATATCAATTAATATTCCTTTCAAGAATGGAAGAGTTCAAAAGGGTTTGTTTGTGACAAATAATGTCGATTTGAGAAAAATTAAAAGTAAAGACTTGTTTTTGTATTTTTATATTGAAGAATAAAAATAGGGTTTTATGTTTATTATTTTACATAACATAACTTCACTTTCCTACACACACTAAAGAGGTGGGGTCCACATATTTTTCTTTCTCTTTCATCATTTCACTTTCTCTCTCTTCATCATTGTGTGAGTTGGAAACTACCCTTATATTATGTTACATGACATTAATAAAACCCATAAAAATAAGAATAAGAATGAATTGATTTGTAAAAATGAGAAAAACATTGTAGCTAGGATACACTCATCATATGATCCCCATTTCTTACCTTGGATTGATTTGGAAATACTT